AGTTAACAGTGAGGCTGAGCCTTCATCTGGTCAGGATGAATCTTCTTGTTAGGTCAAGATGAGGGTTGAAGGTGGGCTTTATGACCTGTTTACAGCTATGGTGTCGTAGTGGATAGAGTGTCAGGCAGGAAATCAGGAGGCCTTGAGTGAGGAACCTAGAGGAGTGGATAGGAGCTTAAAATATAACTTTATACTGAAAAGATTCAAGGTCCCCTTGTACTAATAGTCAGCTACCCATTTTCTTTAAAGATGCTCGTGAAATTACAGTGGTGCCTCACTAGACAGTTACCCCACATGACAGTTTTTTGGCTAGACATTGACTTTTTGCAATCGCTATAGCGATTCACAAAACAGTGATTTCTATGGGACAATTTTGCTGGACAATGTTTGGTCCCTGCTTTGCAAACCGATTTTCGCTAAATGACAATTTTGATAGCTCCCTCCGCGCTCTCAAAATGGGTGTTTTCGGGACCTAAGCTTCGCAAGAAGCTGATTAAACAGCTGATTAGCATTTCACAAAGCAGCTTTCCTATGGACGATCTTCGCTAGACAACAACAATTCATCTCCATTGGAACGCATTAAACAGGTTTCAATGCATTCCAATGGGGAAATGCTAAACAGCGATTTCAGTAGAACAAATTATCATCTAGCGAGGCTGAGTGTCAATTAAGCTATTGATAGGAAAAATATGTCCTGTGACTGAGGATGTCACACTTCAGGAAACGAGTGATCCCCAGGGTTTGGGATCTGTATCTTTGCTTTTCTACTGGAAGCAAGTTTTCGGGTTGCACTAAAAGTTTCTTTGGGTATTGTTACGAAGGCTGGTTGTAGAGCAAGAGGTTGGGAGTTGGATTTCCCACTGTGCCTTCAGGGAGGAAGAGCTGGCCTGTGTCACCTTGGGCAAGCTCATCACATGCCGAGGAGAGCTTGATAAAGTTGCTTTCTTTGACTGCAGCTCCCACAATTCTCCTAACCAGCCTAGCCATAGGTCAGAATCCTCCGATGTCAGAATGAGGTCACAATCTGGTCTGTATCTCTGCAAACTGAGAGGCAGTTCACAGGCTGAACCTTCATCTGGTCAGGATGGATCTTCCTGTTAGGTCAAGTTGCGGGTTGAAGGTGGGTTATATGACCTGTTTACAGCTATGGTGTCATAGTGGACAGAGTGTCAGGCAGGGACTCAGGAGGTCTTCGGCGAAGATCCTAGAGGAGTGGACAGGAGCTTAAAAATAACTTTATTCAAAAAGCATCAAGGCCCCTTTGTACTAATAGTCAATGACCTATTTTATTTAAAGATGCTCCTGAAATTCTTAATTCCTTATTTTCAATTAAGCTATTGATAGGGAGCCAGGTAGGTGGGACTCATCAGCCTGGACAGGCAGCCCATCTAGGAGAAGAAAACTCTGATCCCAAACCCCCATGCTGTGAGGAGAAGGAGGAGGCGCCGCCATCACCCATGTGGCGAGGGAGCAGGCCGGGTAGGTGGGACTTGTCAGCCTGGGAAGGCAGTCCATCTAGGAGAAAGAAAACTCCAATTCCAAACCTTCACTGCCTTGTGGCTATATCCACTGATGGAAAAGGCTTCAGGAGTTAACCTTGAGGCAAAATCCGGAGCCGTAGTCCCGGAGGCAGTTTGTGACATTTTGGCAACTCCTGCGACATTGCTGGAACCAGTTGTATTGGCTCTTGCCTTTCCATTGGACTATTTCAGTGATGTGGAGAGGGGGGGATTTGCTGCTTGGATAACAGCCTATCCTACATGCTCTGGAGAGGACACTCCAGCTTTGCATACAGCGTCGAAGTCCTCCATACAGAGCACGTTACCGTAGTCTCTCGAGACTGAAGGATGCCTATGATGAGAGAAGGTGGTAATGATATTGCAAACGAAAAGAACTATGCACTGAGAGAACTGTTGATGAATTGCTTATGTATACTGAATACTGAAAAACTTCTGTTATTACTCATTCTGCTCCACTTCAATAAATAAGTTCTATTTCTGTTCACAAGACAAGTGCTCTGACACACGTCATTTATATGGTGGATTGAATCAATCCACTGGTGGCAGGGAGAAGAAAACATGATGTGACCCTTTGTGAGGGAAAAACAAGCAGGGGTCACGAGGGTAAACATCACAGGGGGCCTCAGAACTGCTAGGGACATTTAGAGCAGCGGTCCCCAACCTTTTTGGAACCACGGACTGGTTGGGGAGTGCAGGCTCAGTGGACAAGGGGAGGGGCACCCCCGTTCTCACTGGTGGGCGTGTCATGATCGTGGGTGGACATGTCCCACTCGCAGAGGGGCGTTTCATGTTCGTGGGTGGGTGTGTCTCGCTCAGAGGTGGACGTGTTGCACTCATGTGTGCAAGCGCAACACACCCCTCCATGAGCACAACATGCCCACGATGCATGCTTGTGGGGGAGATCAGTCTCCACGGCCCCGGGGACCCCTGATTTACAGCATTGCCTCCAGGTGGCTTCTGGGTACACATTTCTCCATTTTCAGCCAAATTTGTATTTTGTTTTTTTTGTTTGTTTGTTTGAGGGTCAGAGTTCAGTATGGCTTACATTTGGCTCATTTCTGTTTTAACCAGACTGAGCCATTACCTTCAGGAGGCAAAACTGCATGCAATCTTGCCAATTGAGCCCTCTTCAATACTCTCGAGAGCACTACTAGCCACTCTTGAGCTGTGGCAAATGCCACATCAAGTAAGTCATTAGTAGGGCAGAGAAACAGCACATAGCTCCCTAGAGCTGGTTGAAGTCCAAATGTCTTGCTTCCCAGTCTACTTGAAGATTCTGTCAGTTATATGTACTATTTTCTCTACATTATCTCCTAAATGAAGATTTTGGCTGTAGAATAAATATATATTGTATTGTATTTTTACCCTACCACAACAGCCTGTGATTTAGCAGTAAGAATATTTGGGTTTTCCTGTCAAATGCAAATAAATTTGTTGGTCCACCTACTAAAGAGTCCTACTTCTCTGTATTCCATGGCAGATAATCAATCAATTGGATTACTTTATTTGGATTTAACCATTCAGAAGCCAAGGTAGAACGCTTCGATATCTAGGTTCAACTTAGTTTTTCTTGTCACTCACTCGCTACCCTGGGGTGCCAGGGTACAAAGAAGGGTCAGATCTTTGGGTCACTAAAGTGTGCTATTGAGACCTCAATCTCATTCTCTTTCTCAAGTTTGTGTAACATTATGTCCTACCAAGTTACGAAACTGATCTATGGTCTTGACCAATAAAATCAACCGACAAGCTATATCCATGATAGTTTTTACTAAACAAAGTTTATGTGTTTAATATACTGTATAGTGTTTCCATTCTATATCTTCATTTTAAGGAAAAAAACATCATTTACTATGTCAATGTGTGGATGCAGGAATCACAAGTTTCTACTATTACAAATAAGAATTGTGAGAGGGTCAGCTACACACCTGACTGTGTCAGTGGTCCATCAAATTCCACCCCAGAAACCTAGCCTACCATGAACCAAGAAAGAATGGGAATCATGGGCAAATGCAAGGACAATGAAACACAAACAGATGTTGGTTGTTTTGGGTTTTTCAGGCTCTTTGGCCGTGTTCTGAAGGTTATTCATCCTGACGTTTCACCAGTCTCTGTGGCTGGCATCTTCAGAGGACAGCAACCGGCCACAGAGACTGGCGAAACGTCAGGAAGAACAACCTTCAGAACATGGCCAAAGAGCCCGAAAAACCCAGAACCACCATTAGATCCTGGCCGTGAAAGCCTTCGCGAATATAACAAACAGATGTTGCCCAGATGATGAGACTGGTCCTGCAAATGGAAATAGCCAATAGAAGGAAGAGGGAGGAGTTCTTATGCCCTGATGGGCAGCAGATGAGGGGAGAATTTTGCCACCAAATGCAGAGGAAGGAAAGGAAACCAGAATAGGAGCTGCAGAGGGGACATAGGCCAGGAGGACACCACAAGCCCCTCTCTGGTAGTAAAAACAAAAACAAAAACAACAGTAATAAATGACTTGTCTGCTGCCACAAGAGCCCCAAAACCTCCACCTGGAGTGTCTGCCTGTCTCTGCCTAGTGGGAGGTCTGGCCCTTGCGCACCGTATAGGAGTGGTACCCACCGCCTTGCCAACTCAGCTCGCTCGACAGGTGTAAAGGAGGAAGCTGATGTCAAGTTAAATGTAAACCACAAACCTATAAACCGTAACCCTGTAAACCGGTTTGGCCGAGAGTAGCAGAGAAGGAAGGCGGCCCAAGGAAACAAAAGTAGTTTTTGCTCCGAGTTCTCTCCCCGCTCGCGTGTCTGCCTGCCTTCCTTCCGACCCAACCGCGAGTGCCCTCTCGGCCCCCGCGGTGTGCTTGTGAGAAACGAGCTCTGGAGACCCAAGCTTTCGGTCCCCATGTCTGCGGCAGAGGAGGCGGCGCCAGGCGCCGGGGCACCGCGAGGGGCGGTAGCGGCAGGCCAGCCGCCGCATGGGGAAAGGGGCGCGGAGGGTTCTCCGGGGCAGCCGCTGTCGCCGCCGCCACCTCCCG